AGGTGAGCCGGGCATCCAACAGCATCACGGTGTCCTGGCCGCAGCCCGACCAGACCAACGGGAACATCCTGGACTATCAGCTCCGCTACTACGACCAGGTGGGGGGGGTGGGGGTGCCCAGCAGGGCTGGTGGGGGAGACGGGAGGTGGGCCAGGGCCAGGACAGAGAGGTGCCAGACGCCGGAGGGTGGGAGCAGGGGTCGGTGGCTGGGACTGAGCAACAGGGAGTGAGTGGCTGTCACCCCCAGGCAGAAGATGAATCCCACTCCTTCACCCTGACCAGCGAGACCAACACGGCCACCGTGACACAGCTGAGCCCTGGCCACATCTATGGCTTCCAGGTGCGGGCGCGCACAGCGGCAGGCCACGGCCCCTATGGGGGCAAGGTCTATTTCCAGACGCTGCCTCAAGGTGAGAGGAGGCCTGGATGGGACAGAGGCAGCACCGGGGGTGGGGGGGGTTCGTGAGGAGAGGCCCAGGGGCCCTCAGGCCTTGAACCCTCATCTAGCACCCTCCAGACCAGAGGCCATGTGGGGCAGGCGGCTGTAGGGAATACTCTCATGCAAAACAGCTGGCTTCTGGGTCTGTGGGTGTGAGTGGGTGCATGGGAGGTGTAGGTGGGTGTGAGTAGGTGCATGGGGGTGTAGGTGGGTGTGAGTGGGTGCATGGGGGGGTGTAGGTGGGTGTGAGTGGGTGCTTGGGGGTGTAGGTGGGTGTGAGTGGGTGCATGGGGGGGTGTAGGTGGGTGTGAGTGGGTGCTTGGGGGTGTAGATGGGTGTGAGTAGGTGCATGGGGGGTGTAGGTGGGCATGAGTGGGTGCATGGGGGTGTAGGTGGGTGTGAGTAGGTGCATGGGGGTGTAGGTGGGTGTGAGTGGGTGCATGGGGGTGTAGGTGGGTGTGAGTGGGTGCATGGGGGGGTGTAGGTGGGTGTGAGTAGGTGCATGGGGGTGTAGGTGGGTGTGAGTGGGTGCATGGGGGGGTGTAGGTGGGTGTGAGTGGGTGCTTGGGGGTGTAGATGGGTGTGAGTAGGTGCATGGGGGGTGTAGGTGGGCATGAGTGGGTGCATGGGGGTGTAGGTGGGCATGAGTGGGTGCATGGGGGTGTCGGTGGGTGTGAGTGGGTGCATGGGGGGTGTAGGTGGGCGTGAGTGGGTGCTTGGGGGTGTAGGTGGGCGTGAGTGGGTGCATGGGCGGTATAGGTGGGTGTGAGTGGGTGCATGGGGGTGTAGGTGGGCGTGAGTGGGTGCATGGGGGTGTAGGTGGGTGTGAGTGGGTGCATGGGGGTGTAGGTGGGTTGAGTAGGTGCATGGGGGGTGTAGGTGGGTGTGAGTAGGTGCATGGGGGGTGTAGGTGGGTGTGACTGGGTGCATGGGGAGTGTAGATGGGTGTGAGTGGGTGCATGGGGGTGTAGGTGGGTGTGAGTAGGTGCATGGGTGGTGTAGGTGGGTGTGACTGGGTGCATGGGGGGTGTAGGTGGGTGTGAGTAGGTGCATGGGCGGTATAGGTGGGTATGAGTAGGTGTATGGGGGTGTAGGTAGGCATGAGTAGGTGCATGGGTGGTGTAGGTGGGTGTGAGTGGGTGCTGGGCAGTGTAGGTGGGTGTGAGTGGGTGCTGGGCAGTGTAGGTGGGTGTGAGTGGGTGCATGGGGGTGTAGGTGGGCGTGAGTAGATGCATGGGGGTGTAGGTGGGCATGAGTGGGTGCATGGGGGGTGTAAGTGGGTGTGAGTGGGTACATGGAGGGGTGTAGGCTTGTGAAGCCTTGCCCACGTGTGATCCTGGGTGGCTGGTTCCTCAGGTGAGCTGTCCACCCAGCTTCCGGAGAGACTCTCCTTGGTAATTGGGTCCATCTTGGGAGCCTTGGCCTTCCTCCTGCTGGCAGCCATTACCGTGCTGGCCGTGGTCTTCCAGAGGTGAGCCCCTCCCAGCCGTGTCCCCACGCCACTCCCCCCGCAGCACAACCCCACATCGTGGCAGCCCCGAAGCCCACTGCAGAAACCCCGGCCCCCCAGAGCCCACCTCCCATCACCAGGCCCCTGCCCCTGGGCCGGTGCGAGGTGGAAGGAGGGATCCAGCAGCCCTCACCCCACAAAGCCCTGGCTGGAGAGTGGTGCACATGGGGGCCGAAAGGGGGAAAGTGGGAGTGTCACTCCAGGACTCTGGTTTGTCCTCAGGAAGCGGCGTGGGACAGGCTACACAGAGCAACTGCAGCAGTACAGCAGCCCAGGTGTGGGATCGGGATCGGGAAGGGGGGTGCTCTCGGATGGGGCTGAGCACAGCGGGCAAGGCTGGGTTCCCCGGAGGTCGAGGGGAACTCCTCGGCCCTGCCTTTGTAAGTGGGAGGGCATGCTGGGGTGTGTGGGCAGCCTGGCCTTGTACCACCCACGCATAAGGCACCCCATTTGCCTACAGGGCTTGGGGTGAAGTATTACATCGATCCCTCCACATACGAGGACCCCTGCCAGGCCATCCGAGAATTTACCCGGGAGGTGGATCCTGCATATATCAAGATCGAGGAGGTCATTGGGGCAGGTGTGCAGGGGCAGAGGAAGGGCACGGGAGGGACCGGAGCCCCGCGTTTAGGATCGCTCCTAAACATGGCAGGACACCGAGAGCCCACGTCCTTCCTCAATACCCCCTGACCTCCACCTGTCCTCCCAGGCTCCTTTGGAGAAGTCCGCAGGGGCCGCCTGCAGCCCCGGGGACGGCGGGAGCAGGCTGTGGCCATCCAGGCCCTGTGGGCTGGAGGCGCCGAGAGCCTCCAGATGAGCTTTCTAGGCCAGGCTGCAGTGCTGGGCCAGTTCCAGCACCCCAACATCCTGCGGCTGGAGGGCGTGGTCACCAAGAGCCGGCCCCTCATGGTGCTGACGGAGCTCATGGAGCTGGGCCCCCTGGACAGCTTCCTCAGGGTCGGTCTGGCCTGGGGGCAGCGGGCGGGCGGGCGGCGGGGGGCCTTGGGTCCGGGGAGCTTTGCCGTTCTCAGCCGTCCCAGAGGCAGGGGACAGGGCCCTCTGTCTTTGCTGCCACCTCCCCTGGTCTCCTTCACTCCCAGGCCATCTTCTGATTCCCCACCCCCCTGCCCTTCCGTGGTGAGGTCTGCATGCAGTAGCTGGGGGTCCCCCCCCCCCCGCCGGCTGCTGCTGGCTGACCTCTGCCCCCGGCCCCTCAGCAGCGGGAGGGCCAGTTCAGCAGCCTGCAACTGGTGGCCATGCAGCGGGGAGTGGCCGCGGCCATGCAGTACCTGTCCAGCTTCGCCTTCGTGCACCGCGCGCTCTCTGCCCACAGCGTGCTGGTGAACAGCCACCTGGTGTGCAAAGTGGCCCGTCTGGGCCGCAGTCCTCAGGTGAGAGCACAGCCCCGCAGGCGCAGGCTCAGGCTTTTCCAGAGGGCGCTGGAGGCGGAGCTGGGGGCCGGGGTGCCCACCGCCGCTGGCGTGTCGTGGCATCTGACGGAGTGGAACCCGCCTGTGCGCCATCCAGGAGGGCACCCTGGGCAGACATCCCGGCTCGACACGTGTGACCGCGGCCGCAGTGGTTGCTATCGTTGCTTCTCACCCTCCCCCGCCCCCAGGGCCCAGGTTGTATGCTTCGCTGGGCGGCCCCAGAGGTCATTGCACACGGAAAACATACGACTTCCAGCGACGTCTGGAGCTTTGGGATAGTGATGTGGGAAGTGATGAGTTACGGAGAGCGGCCCTACTGGGACATGAGTGACCAGGAGGTGAGCTCTTGACGCAGACATTGTGGGCTCCCCACCCCGTCCTCCCAACCCACCAGCCTCACAGGCTCGTCCATGCTCAGCTTCTTAGTTTAGTTCTCTAATCTGCTCAGATTCTAAATTCTCTGGCTTCCTTCCCCCCCTCCAACCGCGTGCTCCACCCAATCCCAGCCCACCCACTGACCTAACGGAACGCTCCTTTCCGCCACCAATCTCTTCCCATCACCATGTTCTTCTACTAACCCCCAGGTGCTAAATGCAATAGAGCAGGAATTCCGGCTTCCCCCACCTCCAGGCTGTCCTCCTGGACTACATCTGCTCATGCTAGACACTTGGCAGAAGGACCGTACCCAGAGGCCTCATTTTGACCAGCTGGTGGCGGCGTTTGACAAGATGATCCGAAAGCCAGACACTCTGCAGGCTGACGGGGGCCCTGGGGACAGGTCTGGATATTGGGGCTGGAGCCCGGGACAACCAGGGAGGGTAGATGCAAACCGGAAAGCGGACTGAGGAGAGGGGGCTAAGATGAAGGGGAGGTTTTGACACCCCCCCTTCCCCCACTTAGACCTTCCCAGGCCCTCCTGAACCCTGTGGCCCTGGACTTTCCTTCTCTGGACTCACCCCAGGCCTGGCTTTTGGCTATCGGACTAGAGTGCTACCAAGACAACTTCTCCAAGTTTGGTCTCTGTACCTTCAGTGATGTGGCTCAGCTCAGCTCGGAGTAAGCAGGGAGGGCCGGGGTGGGGGTCCCTCTGGGCCCTAGGCTAAGGCGTCCCACCTGGGATCTCAGAGGAGCTGGCCCAGACCTGACCCACTCCTTCCCCACCAGAGACCTGCCCGCCCTGGGCATCACGTTGGCTGGCCACCAGAAGAAGCTGTTGCACAACGTCCAGCTCCTGCGGCAGCACTTGAGGGAGCTGGGCTCGGTGGAGGTCTGAGGCCTGGGCGGGCGGCTGTGAGCTCGGGAGGCCTTTGTCCCCGCCCTGGCACTCGGTCCAGGAGCGACACCTGGGACGCCAGAGACCATCTCTGTCTTGGCCTCAGCGAGAGAGGCACGCCTGCCACACAACACCCAACCCTCTGGACGCTTCACTCCCTAGTCCTCCGCCCTCCTCCGCCCTCCCCCGCATTAAAGGGAAAGAAGAAACTTTGCAAATCGGAGGTGTAGTGAGACCTCAGTCTGCAAGGAAGGGCTGGGAAGGAGGCCACGGAAGGAGCGCGGGGCCACTGCCAGAGGCGACACTACCCAGCCGAATGCACGGGGCGCAGAGCAGGGAGTGACTTTATTGGAAGGTAGAAGGTGGCAAGACTCCACCCGCTTCACCCCACCCCGAAAGCGGTACCTGCCCCCCCCCCTCACTTGTGTGCTGTCCGCAAGCCTCCCTCCCAGCTGTCTGGAGCACCCTGGGAAGGGCTCTCCCCTTCCCACCGTAACACTGGGGTAGAGACGGCAAGCCTGTCCTTAAAGTGCTTTGCTCTGACAGTGCAGAGTGCTTGGGTGGCCCCGGCCCGTGCTCGGGGTGAGGCCAGGGCCACCGCCCTCCGTGGTTTCCCATCGCCCCAGAGCTGGGGGAGCAGCGGAACCCAGCAGTGGATCCCGGGGCAGTTATTGCCACCGGCGTGCCTGGGTGTTCATTCTGCTTCCCACCCACTCCGGGACCCGGGAGGGAGATTGGACCTCTGGGTGTCTCGGTTCTGCGCCCCGATGGCCCCAGGGAGCCGAGAGCAGCTGCAGGGGCCCGATGGCCCAGTGGAGTGCGAGCGCTCAGATCTGGTACTCCCAGCCTTCGCAGTCCTCCAGAGCCCTGTTGGCCAGGCCCCGCACTTCCCTCCGCAGGGTGCCCTGTCGGAGCCTCTCCCAGTTGGTGCTGCTGCGGGAGGTACTTCGGGACACCGAGGGGGTCGGGAGGGCCAGGTGGAGGCCCAAGGGGTGGCCCAGCTGCCCTTTTTCTGAGGCTTTGTCCAGGTCGTCGGCGCCCTGGCTGTGGAAGGCCTGTGCGTAGCGCCGCGCGCGCTGCCTGTTGAGATCCTGTCTGTCCTCCACCCTGTGCAGAAGGAGGACATGAGAGGCAGCCGAGGGCGGACGGGCTGGTCCTGGGGACCCTGCCTCTGTCCTATGCGCACCCCCTCCCACCAGGACTGGCGATGTTGCTCCTGTGCAGCTAGCTGGTGTGGGCACAGGGAAGGGCTGGGTTCCAGCCCCAAGCACCTGGCAAGGGCGGGGGGGCTCCCTTAGCAGCGGGGATCCAGTGTGGGGACTTCAGGTCAACACAGGTCACTGGGCACGTTCCCCCCCCCAACTGGAGGCTGTCTGAGCAGAGGGGCGCAAGGTCACTCACCGCAGGAACCAGCGGTCCCCCAGCCCGTACTCGCGCCCGCAGATCCCCGAGCGAGGCCACAGGCAGCGAGGCAGCTTCCGTTCCAGCATCACCGTGGTGGCCACCACCTGCGCGTGGGGACAGGAGGGGCCGTCAGGGGTCGGGTGCAGATGGAGAGAAGGATGGGGAGAGGAGAGGGTGCGGGGCAGAGGAAGGACAGCGTAGCAACAGGTCGGAAACGCAGGGGCTCGGGGTCTCCAAGAAGGGACCAACAACACCCTGAGCGAGCACGAGGGTGGTGGTGTCCGCTTGGCTGACCCTCTGCTGCGGGAAACAGTCAGTGGGACACAAGTCCTGCAATTTTTTGCTCCGTGACTTGACATCCACGCCGTTCCTGCAGGAGGTTGAGAGACCTCGCTCCAAGGAGACAGGAAGGAGGGCAAAGCAAACAGAAAGGGATCCTCGGGGCCACAGGATATTTTGACCCTACAGACATAAAGGCCATTTATAAATGCTAACATCCTACTGGGAAATCTAATATCAATACATTTGCATGGAAAACATATTTTCCTGAGCAAACCCCATTTAGCCAATTTAGGGCCTTTTAACTCTGTTTTCTACACAGCACAGTTAAGTGCCATTCAATTTGGGGGGTTTTCATTTTTAATTCTGTTGAGAGAAATAATTTTCTAAGTATATTTTCAAACGATTTGATTCATCGAACGGCCTTCTGTCTCCATCGTGACGATCTGACTGAGGATGACTGCTGCTACTCTGGGAAGTTTTTGTAGCATTTTTTTTTTAACCTGTCCGATTTTTCTGGGTCACGTTTTTTTACAGACTAATTTACTAAATGCACTTTTTAGCCACCACTGGCTTTATTTCTTGTCGGTCGCTTTCTTGTTGACTCTCCTAGAAAAGCCTGAGGTTTTCATTTTTGAGAAAACTGGGAGGAATTGTTTCCAGGCATCCAAGTCCTGCTCCGTTGGATTGCCAATCCCGTGCTTCTGTGCACCCCGCGTTACCCGGTGTACCGTGCAGTGACCATGTCAACATATGTCGGGTCAAAATATCCTGTTTCTGTGTGAGCTCAGCCGGGTCCCTGGCTGGGAGGGAGTACCCGGCACGAACCCACCCAGCCGCCAGGGGCTCACCTGGGCCCTCCAGAGCTCATCCCGCTCATGGGCCACCCGCCAGTGAGTGTCACCCATCATGGCGATGAGGAGGTTGAGCATGAGCAGGGTGGCGATGATGGCGAAGGCAGCGTAGGTGATGCTGTACATGAAAGGCAGGTCCACGTCGTAGTTGGCAGGCCCGTCGATGACGGTGAGGAACAGCTCGAAGGTGCTGAACAGTGCCATGGGGTAGTCGTAGAAGTGGCCCAGCTCGTCGGGGTCCTCTGTCTGGAAGATGATATAGAAGGCTGCTCCACCCAAGGGGGGGAGAGTTACCATGGCAACCATATACGTGGCTGGACCACGGCCAGCCCTTCGCTGCCCAATTCAGGCCCGCCCCCCGTGGCTCCGTACTTTGGGTTCTGATATTCCCTTATTTTCAGTGTGGCTTATCCCGATCCCCAGAGCCACGTCTCCACAACACTCCCCGTTTTGTCTCACCTGTGAGGGACGTTCCATCCTCAGACCCTACAGCCCTGTGTCTTGGCCCTCGCTCCCACCTTCCCCCGGGTTTCTCTACAGCCATTCTGGACTCCCCAGGCTCCTCCAACCTCTCCCCTCCAGGGCCCCATCCCAGACCCGTGATTTACCGGAGGCAAAGCCCAGGATGACGACCGCCATCAGCCAGCAGAACCGCATCAGGTCGCCAAAGATCATCTAAAGGGAGGAGGGAAGGAAAATACTTCTTCAGGGGTCCCCTGAGCGGCTGCCCCTTGCAGCCTCTCCTGCGTCGAACCCCGTCAAGTCCAGCAGCTCCTCCCTCCCGGGGTTAGAAACTATGGTGCACACCGAGTCTACTTGGCCTGTTCGAGTACAGCCCTTACAGAACTAAGAGTGGCTTTGACATTTTTAAAGGCTTGAGGAAACCAAAGGAAGGAGGAGGAAAGGAAAAAAAATATGCAGTAGAGACCACATGTGGTCTTGCAAAGCCTGCGAATCTGTCATCTGGCCCTTTACAGAAATGTCTGCAGCAGCCCCTGCTCTAGCACCTTGCTCTAGAAAGCTTGGGGGGAGGCACAGACCTTCTGGATCATGATGGTGAAAGGGCCCAACATCTGGAATCCTCGGGCGAAGTACATGACATTGCACCAGCCCAACACCAGGGCGAAGGACATGGGCACCACCTCCCCATTGGTGTTCGTGAGCCGCATCACCATGGTCACCAGCACCATGCAGGCGTAGGTGATGCTGGGGGTGGGGAGCAGACGGGGATGTGAGAGGAGACGGGGATTATCCTGGGCACGCAAGAGCAGGAGTGACTGGGGGACGCAACACCCACACACTCAGATTTGGCCTTCGCACGTTCAGTACCCGCGGCCACACATGCCGCTGGAGAAGGACCTCGAGTTAGTTTTCTCCAGGGATTGTCCAGGGGTCAGGAATCCAGGGAGTTGAGGGAAAGGATTGGGGGGGAGAGAACGGAGACTCACATGAGGACGTGAAACGGCCCCCCAAGGATGGTCTGTCCGAAGAAGCGAGTGACCCCCACCCTGAAGATGTCTGGAATCTGGGCGCAGGCCAGGAAGACACAAAGGCACTTGTAGCCTGGGGCTCTGGCTGGATCCCTGGGGCAGGCAGCCTCGTCCCCAACCCTGCCCCCCTCTCATCTCACCTCTGCAAGCAGAATGATCACAGCTCCAATGATGGTCACCAGCTCCCCGACCAGGCGAATGTCATCCTCGGGGGTCACATAGGCCTCCTGAGGGGGAAACATGGTCAGAGGCGGCAGGCCGTCCGTGCACCTGCCCGCCCGCCCGCGGGCACCAGTCAGTGTCCCGTGCATAGGGCATCTGTGTTAGGTCTGGCCAGCCCAGGCTCTGCTCTTGGAGCCCACGTGTGTTTCCGTGTGACTGTTTGTTGGGTTCGTGCCTGGGTATTCGGGAGCTGGGTGAAGGGAGAAACACGGGCCATAGAACAGGACCACGGTGCGGGCCTGTGGAAGGGCAGGGAGCCGAGCCCGGCCCCGAAGCTCTGCTGCTCCTCGGGCTTCACCTGGAGGAGCTTCTGCTGTAGGAGGGTGTTGTCCCGGGGACCAGTGTGGTTGTTGGTCCTGGGCTTGAGAGGGCGGTAGACGCAGCACATGGTGAAGCAGATGATGTACAGCAGGTACAGGGTCCCCAGCACGCAGAAGTAGGGCCGCCCGTATCTCTTCCACTTGAGGCTCACCAGCTCTTTCACTGGGGTCTGGTCCAGGATCTGGCGAGCCTGCGGCAGGAAGGAACTGGATTCCGGCTCGGGACCCGGCCCGCCCTCCCCGGCTGCTTTCTGACCTGACCGCCCCTACCTCCCGCTTCTTGGTGGTGACGATCAGTTCCAGCAGAGACTGCTCGTCCCCCGAGGAGTCGATCTCCGTGAGGTCGTAGAGAGTGGAGGTCAGCGGCCCGTACGTCCACTGGATGTGCTTCCGCTTCTGCATCAGGTGCTGGAACATCTGAGGGGACACGGTGCGAGCCCGGGGTCAGGGTGAGGAGCGGCCGCGGGAGCCACTCCGCTGGGAGGGCTGCTGCCCCCCACCCCGGCCCCAACGACCCCGGGCCCCACCTCCGTCGCCCGAGCCCCCGTCTCTGCTCACCCGTCTTCCCCACCAACCCTACAAAGATCTGAAGGACGAGGACAAGGACAGGCAGAGGGACCAGAACTTGGGTGACCAGAGCCGACACCCTGGGAGGACCTTCTCAGAGCCTCCCGGCAAGGGATGCCAGAGGCTGAGGCTGCGCAGGGCGACCTCAGGGGAGCCGGGGAGAAGCAGGACCCCCGGGGCCCGCCGAGTGTCCCTCACCACGGTGTTGCCCTCCACGCCGGCCAGCTTGAAGGGGGTGAGGCCCTGGTGGTTGGGCACGAGGTCCAGGGACTGCAGGTGGTCCCTGCGCCCATCATAGGACAGCAGCAGGTTGTACATCTGGCAGGCGAAGGTCTTGTTGGGCTGGAGGATGAGGATGTGCAGCACGGTGTTTCCTGGGGGAGGACGCGGGGGTCACACGGCCGCCGCACCCCGGGCCCTGCCGTTGCCCTGCCCTCCCCCCCCCGGCCCCCAGCACCCCGGCTCCCCCCCAGCCCGGCTCTCACCCAGGGAGTCCTGGGCCCGGATGTCAGCTCCGTGCTCGATGAGCAGCCTCACGATCTCCTCACTGCCCACGCAGGCGGCGAAGGACAGGGGGTGCTCCCCTGTGGACACACGGGGCTCCTTGGCACAGGTGCCCGGTGGGAGGGGCACCGGCCGCATCTCAGCTCTGGGCTTGGCGACACTCGTCAGCGCCACCAGGGGCAGGGATGGAGCGAGTGCCCCGGGGGGGACTGGCTCTGGGCCTCCGCTTCCCCAGGCCTGGAGCCCTCCTCAGCCCACCGTCCCCTGCTCTGGGCCCTCCCCACGCCCCTCCTCCCAGCCCGGGCCCTGCTCCCACCAAAGTAGATGAGGTTGCGGGGGCTGCGGTGGAAAGCGGTGCCCGTGGCTCTGGCAGAGACGCTGGCCCCGCGGGCAAGCAGGGCGCGCACCAGGTTCACGTTCTGGTTCACGATGGCTATGTGCAGTGCAGTCTGACCTGGCCCGGAGAGAGCCCTCAGTCACGGGGCCTGTCCCCAGGATCCTGCCGGGGGTCCCTCCCCTATCCACACCCCATCCTCCTCCCCGGGGGCAGCCTGAGCCTGGGGGCGGGGGTTGGGGGGGAGGAGCCCCTGGCCTGCAGGTCCCCAGGGAGGCCAGCTGCTGCCTTCTCTCCCTATCCTAGACCCCTTGCACCGCAGGGGCCTGGTGCTCTAACCGGGTGCAGTGAGGTGGCCAGGAGGCAGGGGAGATAGAGAAGCATGAGAAGCAGGAGTCTCAGACTCCCTCCCCAAATCATCCACCCCAGACTGCCTGGAAATATGCAGCAGGGCGCCCCTTCCCTCCGTCCTGGGCCCCGTGGCCCCTCACCCTCATACAGCTCGGATGTCATGGGCTCAAAGACCAGCTCCGGGGCGGCCTCCATCAGCACCGTGGCGGCCTCCAGGTTGTCGTAGAGGGCTGCTATGTGCAGGGCCGTCTCCCCCATGCCTCCTGGCATTGACAGAAAGCAGAGTTATATGGCTTCTATGGGGCCGGGCCGGTGACAATAGGGACTAAGTGGCCACAGCAGAAGGGCCTGGGCTGGGCTGGGCTGGGAGCCGAGGGGGCGGGGGGAGGGGGTCTGACGGGTGTGAGGGCTCTGCCTCTTACCTCTCTCCTGCACCTCACAGGCCTCGTACTTGAGTAGCTTGCTGAGAGCCTGGACATTGTTCTCCTTGGCAGCCAGAAGGAGAGGAGACTCCCAGATCCTACAAGGGAATGGGATCAGAAAGGGGGCGATGCTGAGCCTGCCCCGTTGTGCAGCGAGGGGGTGATGGCAGGGCCCCTCCCCCACATGCAAACACGAGCACTTCCAGTTAGTTAACCCAAGCCAACTTCCCCCCCTTTCTGTGTGTGTAGGGGAGCACCAGGACTGGCTTCCCCTCCCCTGGGGGCTGGGACCAGAATGTGTGTGAAGGTGTTATCTGTGCACATGGGGCATGGAGGGGAGGAGTTTCACTTAAGTACTCATTCACCTCCTGACCTGCTGACCTCTGGAGCAACCCTGCTTAGCTTCACTAAGTGCCCTGTGATTACCCCCCAAGATAAGCCTTGTTTTCATGGACTAAGGGTACAAGGAATTCCTCCCTCATATTTGTGAAGCAAGTCAACACGTGGAGGCCAGCAGGTTTCCTCCGGTGGAGCAGCGATGCTCTCCTTTCTAGACCTTCTCAGCAAAGCCCATTGATCCTGGCACTCTCCTCCCGACAACAGCATCCTCAGAGCTCAATCGGAAAGCAACAGCAGATCCTTTTTGTTCTGACCCTAAGTCAGAGTATACTCTCTTCCTACTTCCTGTCTGCTTCTCACTTGTTTTTGGGGTAAAAAAAAAAAAAATCGTCCTCTGTGACTCACCAGATCCCTTCTTGAATCTTATTCCTACAATGAACTAAAAACCTAAATCATAATCAAAATTTAGCCCAACTAAGACCTATGGGTCTAAGACCTATGGGGCCCCCTTTATTCCATTTCTCTCTTGGCCCCAAGCCATCGTCTTTTTATGGGAGCTAAATGAACTAAGACCACTTAGCCATAGATGGCCAGCTAGGAACTATGTGAATGGGACTCGCGCACTGAAGTGCTGGTGGTGGCAGGAAACCAACTCCAGGAGCTGAGATGGGAGGGCGATCGGGAGAGGAGGAATGAGCACCAGACTCACACCTCCCCAAACATTGGCACCAGCTCCCCAACCCCCATGCCACATGGGCGGCCACCAGGCCCTGCCAATTCAACGTTGAGTGTTCTTCCCCCCAAAACCAATCCCTACCTCCTCGTCCCTCCTGACCTTCCTCAGTCCAGCTCTTCATTCTCTGTTCTGCCCCTCATTACCGAAATACTCCAACTACTTTCCCTATGTGCTCCTTACCCCCAGTCCATCCTTCTGCATGCCGCCAAAGTGCCCCCTCTAAATGGCAATACCATCCTGGCTCAGAGAAGTCGGCCCTTAAATGCCCACATAAAAGGAACACGGAGGTCCTTTCGAGCCTCTGTGCACCTGCCTTTCCACTCTCTCCTCCTCCCATTCACTCCTCATGCCTGATGCTCCGGCCTCAGCACCCCCAGAACACCTCATTCTCCCAAAGCCTGCACCGAACGCTCCTCCCCCCTGGAACCCAGCACTTCCTCCTCACCCTGGTCATTGTCTATTCCGTGATCCCAGTGCCTAGGGTTGTGCCCCGCGTGGGGCAGACACTCTCCCACTATCTGCAGAATGAATGAATTTGTAGCAGTGCCAGAAGGTAGTTTGGCTTTACTGCCCCTCCTTATTATCTCCATCGGCCACCCCCTAAGCCAACCTCAGGCAAACATAATCTAAGGAAAAAACAGTGTGCTTGATATACAAACGCAGCTGCAAAGCAAATTTTCTACACCCCCTTCACCACCGCCGCCGCCCTTTCTGACAATATGCCCAAACCCCTCCTCTATAAATATTCTAGAGCCCACTCTGTTCCCCAACACACACGCACACACACCTTCCCCAGGCAGTTTCCCACACTATCCTCTGGTCCTTTATTTTTGCATCTGTCACTGCGTGTTGTGATTATACTGTCTCTTCCTCTGCATTAGGGGTACTTAGAGCAGGGGTCAGTCACTTTCTCATCTTTATATCCTTTCTCTGCCCTCCTTCAATGAGCTTTACGCCCTGTTTTGACTAAAGTTTTGTGTTTTTTTAATTTTTTTTTTTAGATTTTATTTATTTGTTCATGAGAGTCACACAGAGAGAGGCAGAGACATAGGAAGAGGGAGAAGCAAGCTTGCCATCGGGACTCAACCCAGGACCCCGGATCATGACCCGAGCCAAAGGCAGACGCCCAACCACTGAGCCACCCAGGTGCCCTATTTTGACTAAAGTTAATGGCAAAGTTAGAACTGGATCCAAGGAGGCTTCTAACCCATGTGCAGAGTTTTGCCCCCTGCTTCCTAAGATGAGTGGGGAGGCTAGCTGGTGGCCGGCCTGCAGACGCCCCTTTGGGTCCCCACACATCTCCGAAGCCCACAAATGTCCCCCACAAGCCTCCATTCCTGTGTTCTTTTTCTTGCCTTGCCGACTGCCCTCGTGGCCTGGGAAGGATGGAGTTACTGTCCATCTGGGCTTGCCAAATAAAAATACAGGATGCTCCGTTAGATTTTAATTTTAGACGTACAGCCAATAATTTTTAATATAACTATGGCCCACATGATATTTGGGACAGACTCCTGCTAAGAGCTTATTCATCACGTATATGAAAGTCAAATGTAACTCCACGTCCTGTACTTTGTCTGGCAACCCCAGTCAGACTACACTCTGGGTGAAGAATCAGCTCATGACCCAGCCCAGCGAAGTATGTGGAGAACTGGTCTCTTCTGGGTGGCAAACTCCAGAATCTAGCCAAAAAGAGGGCAGGGTAGATGAATGGTTCCGAGGGGAGCAGAGCCATTACATGCAATGGCATCTTAGGGCCACAAGGGAGCAGCAGAGAAAGCCCTCAGTCAACTTGGCTGTTGGGCTGACCCCCCAAAACCTGACTACTCTTGGGACCCATAAAAAAGGCACAAGATTATGCTGAGTGAAATAAGTCAATCGGAGAAGGACAAACATTATATGGTCTCATTCATTTGGGGAATATAAAAAACAGTGAAAAGGAATAGAGGGGAAAGGAGAAAAATGAGTGGGAAATATCAGAAAGGGAGACAGAACATGAAAGACTTGTAACTCTGGGAAACGAACTAGGGGTGGGGGAAGGGGAGGTGGGCGGGGGTGACTGGGTGACGGGCACTGAGGGGGGAACTTGACAGGATGAGCACTGGGTGTCATTCTATATGTTGGCAAATTGAACACCAATAAAAAATAAATTTATTTAAAAAAAAAAGGCACAAGAGCAGACTCATCCAAAGACCCATGCCCGAGATACAAGCAGGCCCTCCCATAGCACCCCAGCCCAGAAGTTTAGATCTGGAGCAAAACCTACGCATCGTCACCAGGTCTCAGCCAGACACCTCCTTCGTCCAGGAAGAAGAGGAGATACTGATAAAAATATGTCCTGGTTTGAACGGTTAAATTATACTCGTTCCCTTCCAGGGGAAAGTTTCACTTTGTTTAGTAGAATACTTAATATTTTGGCCGGAATCTCTAATTCATAAATGGTGGCTCTCAACCAGGGGGGAGTCCCTTCCCCCTCCCCAGGGGACTTGGCAATGTCTGGACACAAGTTTGGTTGTCACAACTGGTGGTGTGGGGCGGAGGGGTGCTACTGGCATCCGGAGGGGAGAGGGAAGGGATGCTCTTAAGATGCATCTTAGGGATCCCTGAGTGGCTCAGCGGTTGGGTGTCTGCCTTCGGCCCAGGGCGTGATCCTGGAGACCCGGGATCGAGTCCTGCGTCGGGCTCCCTGCATGGAGCCTGCTTCTCCCTCTGCCTGTGTCTCTGCCTCTCTCTCTCTGTGTGTCTATCATGAATACATAAATAAAATCTTAGGGAAAAAAAGAAGCATTTTTGGGACCCCTGGGTGGCTCAGGGGTTTAGCGCCACCTTCAGCCCAGGGCATGATCCCAGAGACCCAGGATCGAGTCCCATGTTGGGCTCCCTGCATGGAGCCTGCTGTGTCTCTGTCCCTCTCTTTGTGTCTCTCATGAATAAATAAATAATCAAAAAAATTAAAGAAGAAGCATCTTAGGCAGGGCAGCCTCCTGTAACGAAGAATTATTCCGTCCTGCCAAGGTGGGGAAACTCTGACCTACAGGTAGAATCATCCACCAACCATCTTTTTAAAGAAAAGATTCTTCACATTAAAAACAATGAGAAGTCCCCTCTCTGTGTTTGCTCACACATCGTTAAATATTTAAGAGGAAAACGAAAAAAAAAAAATAAGAGGAAAACGAAAAAGTAAAGCCTTTTAAACACTCACGGATCGAGACGCAAAAAGAAATCACAGAGAAAAGCTGAAACTCTAGCGGGGTGGAAGCTGTTTTCGGGATTCAGAATGTTTTATTTCGCCGCACAATTAATTATAAACTTGAATGATTTAGTGTAATGTAAGACTGGTCAAAACTGTACTTGCAAACCCTAGCCCTTTTTTTTTTTTTTAAATAGAGTAAACAAGTCCCTGGCCTGATCTTCCCCCTGCAGTTCCCCCTGGGCCACCACACCAGGTTGTCTCACTTCCTTCTGCCGGTTCCCTACACTCCGTCCTCCCCTCTCCTCCTCGTCCTCCCCTCTCCTCCTCCTCCTTCTTACGGATGTGCACACGGATGTGCACATGTCTGTGTGCGCACGGGCAGAGTGTTCTATTTGGTTGCTGGAAACAAGATGGAATCCAGAGTGCCTTGGAGGAGAATTCAAATCAGAATTTTAGAGCCGGAAAGTTCCTAGAAATCTGGTCTATCTGTTCTTTTTACAGATGGAGAAAGAGGCCCGGAGTCCCGAGGCGACCTGGCCAAACAAGTCGGACTCAGAGCTGGCACCAGGACCCCCTCGGCCGATTCTCTGTCCCAGTTCTCTGTGTTGATCAGGCTTTGGAGAGGGCTTAGAGACACGGGGGGCTGCTGTGTCCACGGGCCTGGGTGCCACTGGTTTCTCCACAAGCACCCCCTCAGACAAGCGGGCCATTTGGGAAGGGGAGGGCTCACCCCATGTACAGGTTCCCGGGTGCGAATGGCTCTGCCAGGAGGAGGAGCCCAGTCCCTTGACCTCCCGCCAACATCGGGCGTAGCCTTTTGACCACCGTGGCTGTTTTCATCACAGTAATCCCATTTGTTAAATGTGCTTTTCAGCTTCCAAAGCAGCATCTCCCTTACGATCCCTTTTGCTCCTTACAACCCTGTGACACAGGCCAAATGATCCTTTCATGTTTCAGAAAAGGAAACTGAGGCAGCACAACCGAATCGCTGGGAGGAGATCCTGCAGTTACAAGCAGAAGGCTTGGCCAGGAACGTAGCCTCAGGCTCCTACCACTCAGTTATGTGGTTCTTCTAGTTTTATGGCTCTTTCCAGTCTTTCTCAGGGGGAGCCCAGAAGACTGATCACAGATGAAGGAAAGAGCAGTCATGTGTGGGGAGGAGGCATGCACCGGCCACGCGTGGGCCACTTCCCGCCAGCTCAGGTTCTTGGCAACCAGAGGCGGAAGCCAGAGCTGGGGGGGGGGCGGCGAGTAGTGGTTGTTTGCAGACTTGGAGTCAGGCTGCTTTCTCTGCTGCAGCTCTAGCACATGTGCCTGCGAGCAGGCCTGTCTGACTGTACTTACTGAGGCCAGGGGTCCCAGTATACCGGAGAGCCCCAGAGCTTACTTTTCCAGACACATCAATCACTTCCCATGTACTTATACAGGTATCTATCCAAACCTCCAGTGATCACTGCCCTCCCAGCATCTGGTGGCAGGGAGAAGGTGCCAGCAACAGGGTCGGGTGAGGGCCTCTGGGAGCTGGCCATCATACCCCACACCAGGCAGAAGCAGATACCACAGCATCCTCCTCTGTGCTCTCACGACACTCGCTTATACCCTTCTTGGTGAGGACACTCCCCAAGCTCACTTGTCACCCAAGTAGGTGCACATTGGTACATTTTGTCCATGAGAACCGTGAGCTGCTTGAGAGCAGGGATGTCACGTTCATTTTCTGCAAATCTAGCAGAGTGCTCTATGCTCGGTAAGTAGTTAATACATTGGATCTCAGGAAATAAGATAATTCAAGGTCCAGGGAGAGCGGAAGAAGAAATGGGAGAAAGGTAGTGGTTCAGTTTGGGTCTGACAATGTGGATTTAAGCATAGAGAGGCGAAGACCCAAGACTCATCTGCTAGAGAGAGAGAGAGAGAGAGAGAGAGAGAGAGAGATGCTGGGTTCCTGACCATCTTGGCAAGCCTATAAAGTCTTCCACTCTCACTGGACCATTCTCTACCCTCATGGAATCCCCCAACCCCACCCAGATGCCCTCTCTGAGCTGTTGGCTGAATCCTGACTTCAGCACTTGCTTACTCCGGGCCTGCCTCGTTTTCGGGGGATAACAGGCCCTGACTCCCATAGGTTTGGGGTTACAGAAGATAAGGTAGGTGCTCCTTACATTGTTCACGGCTTTCCACCATCAGCCTGCCTCCTCACCCATCACTACTGTCCTCACTTGCATGGTTCTCTATTTACCTAGTTGCCTACAAGTCTTCCCTAAGGTTCACCGCGCAGCCTGGGACACTTCGGCTCCAGCCATCTCAGTGTCCTTCCTGGGAGTGCCCCCTCAGAGGCAGATCAATACTCCAGGCTCTGGGTGGGAAGGAGGGGGGCCGAGAAACTGTGGACACAGGCACGGAGGTCAGGATGGGAGGAGAATCCCTCAACGTGGCAACATCGGGCCTTCAGGACCGGGGCTGCAAGAGGAGGCCCACTCGATGGTCTTGAGAAAACTAGGGGCAGAAAGGACAGTGGAAGCAGCCAGGCTGCGGTCCTTCACTCTGCCTTGGCCTCGTTGGCACACAGGGCAGCTCTGCTGCCCCTTCCAAGCCCTGAGCCTTTCTGTGCTCTGTGTCTGGCTCCCCCAGCCCCGGGGTCCTGAGTGGGAAGGGAGAGGTGGAACCAGGGATGGCCTCTTCTCCAACAACAGCGCCATTCTGTGCCTTAAGATGTCATCAGCCAAACATGCACTCAGCCCCTGCTCTCCCAGGCCTGGGGGGAGAGAAGTGGGTGGCTGGTGTGAGAGTCGGGGAAGCCAGTGCTGAATCCTGGGGCGAAGGGAGAAGAAACACAGGCACTCCCAGTCAGGCTGGGGTGGGCCTCCGCTCTCGGAGTTGGAGAAGGACCCTCAGATACAAAAACCCTGCGCTTTCCTCTCTGAATCAACATGGATTATCTGCCTTTAGTTAGGGACCCTGGGGGGCCTTCCTGCCAGCGTGCCAGCATCTGGTGGGGAGACCCAGAGAGTCTTTGGAGAGGGCATCGCACCCAGGGATGGCCTCAAGCTTTCCCTCTCCTTTCCTTTCCCTCCTGGGGTGGGACATTTTCAGGGGCTGGAAGCAACAAGTGCAATCTCCTTGGGGCTCAAACTTTAGAGCCTCTCAAATTCCTCAGCTCCAATGAGAGAGTGGGTGAGCACTTCTGGTGTTGCGCCTGGGCACCCACCATGCCCCCCTCCCCAGTAGTGAGCCCCAGGGCTGGGTCCCAGCTTTGTTGGGCTCCATATCACCCCCTGCCCTGCACATGCCTGGCACTCAGCAGGGCCCTGGGCAATGGCTGGTGATGGTGATCGTGCACAGGAATGACAACCATGGTCACATTTTTGTCTTCTGTGGTTACTGGCGTCTGCGGCTCCTTCCTGCCTCATTCATTCACTCCCACAGGCCTACATGCATACATGTATGTGTTACATGTTTCTGCAGGAAACACTGCTCTAGGGGTAGGGAGTAGATATCAGGCTTTGTCCGGACCCACCAGCACCTCTGGGGTGGTGGTTTCATGATGCCTTGATCTTTCCAAGGCCCAGGGAGCTGGCTGGCCTTTAGGGAAGTACAAGAGGCTTGCATAATTGAATAGGATCTTAAAGATAGTGAGCACCTGTGCCCCCCTGCCAGCCTCCTCCCTTCTACCCCTGACATCCTGGGGTGCTAACCCCACAGGGCCAGCACCTTTGAGACAAAATGATCCCAAGGAGCCAGGCCTAGAAACACAATCTGTTCAGATAGAGATGCCAGACAAAGACTGGAATGGGGTGGGAGGAGGGGAGGAGGGGGAAGGGGGAGAAAGGAGGAGCTGGGGGGGGTGAGGGACATGCTGGGGGGTGCAGAGGGAGCAGATTGAGGCTTACCTCTTCTGCTGCTGCAGGTTCTGCTCATCTCGGCTCTGAGCCCATGACTCCTGTCTCTGGAACCATCTACAGAATTTTCTCCACAGGCAGAGAATGAGCCCCTTCTCCTTGGGCAGCGGCAACCCCATAGAGCGCAGGGCCGGCTCCTTGGGGGGCTGAGGCCGAGGCCAGACCCCAAACGGACTCAGCCTAGGGGCCACATCAGCCCCCTCAAGGGCCGGCCTGCCCTCGCCCTGTAGAGGTCCCGTCTCCTGCCTTCCGGGTCCCCCGCCGAGTCTCCGTGGGGCGCCAGGGCAGGGCTTGCAGAGGGCTGCGGAGTTTCTTACCCTCCACAGAGCTGGGGCTCCCTCCTCTGGCTCCTCCTTGGGAGCTCCTCCTGGGAGTGAGCAGGAGCCCGCAGACACTCCCTCCCTCCTCCCAAATTACCTGAGATTTAAAGAGACAGGCCAGCTGACCTGCCCTGCATCTGCGGCCTGGCTTCAACTCCTTCCACACCTGGGTCTCTCTCCCTGCCCCCAGGCCAGTCCAGGAAGGGGAGGCCTTCAAAGAGGGGAGAGGCCTCCCTTGGACTTTGGGACACCTGGTGACCTTTTATAGAAAGGCCTGGACAGGTCAGACTAGCCTGAGGGCCTGGGGAGAGGGAGGAGGGGAGCAGGGGAGGAGGGGAGGAGTCAGGCCGGCCTAGGGGATAGAGGAGTGAGTGGAGCTCACCTCTCTCCCTGGGGTCTTTTCTGTGTCTGGCCCTCCTGGAGATTGAGCTTCCCTTCACGCTTGCGGTTTAGTCTCTAGCCTGGCCCAGAATAGGTGGTATAAACAAAGAAAACCCAGGGTGCCCCGCAAACCTTTTCCGTAAAGGGCCAGATAGGACGCGAAGATATGTTAAGTTTGGCAGGCCACCTACAGGCATATGGTCTCTGACACACAGGCTTTAATTTTGTTTTGTTTTGTTTTGTTTGTTTTGTTAGCCCTTCAGGGATGTGTAAGCCATTCTTAGCTCAGGGGCCAGGGCATAAAGCGGAGCCATGGGCAGGATTTAGCCCCCTGGACTTCATAGACCCCCCCCACCCCCGAGTTCTAGAACACTCCCCCAACATGGCATATATGTATTGGATTACCAAATAAAATACAGGACGTCCCATTCCATTTGAATTTCAGATAAACAATGAAGAATTTTTTTTAGTATAAATATGCTCCCAGTATTGCAAGTATGTTCTCTGGCAACCTCCCCCAGGGGTTCACCCCCTCCAGCCTGCTGGGCCCAGCTAAATGCTCCCCTGTAAACTCACAATGAACTTGCAAGGCAGGCATTATTGTCCACATCCTACAGGTTAAAAACAAATCAAAACAAAACAAAAAACGAAGTCCAAAGTGGTAAAGTAAATCACCCAAGGTCACATAGCCAATTTAGCCAATTTAGCGGCAGCGGCCAGATTCATACCCATTCCCACATCCCCAGTGGGTGGGTAGATGGAGGCCCAGGGAGGTGAGGTGGCTTGCACAGACTCTGGGACGAATGGTTAACAGAAAGCACAGCCCGTCCTGGTCCCACCACATGGAATTCGGACAGGAACAGCTTGGGAGCCATCCTGGTCACTTGGTTCAGCCTTCCGGTTGGAGAGAGACCAAAGCCTTGGATTATGCAAAGTCCCATGGCAAAGCAGGGACCTGATGGCCTGGGGCATGGGTGTCTGGGCATCTCCAGTCACTGGTATGTGTGGGTCACTCCCTAGCTTCAGAGTCTGGTTTTTTTTTTTTTTCCTACTTGTCTCTGATTCAGAGAGCTGGAGGACACAGTGAGGAGTGTGTGTGTGTGTGTGTGTGCACACAGGTGTGGATGTGTAGGAGAGAGGGGGAAGCTTGGGTGCAGGGTGAGGTATCTCTGTGGGCAGGGTATAGAAGGGCCGCCCTCAAATCTAAGGGAAAGCCACTCTCCCATCGCTGCTCTTGGGCCCAAGGCCAGGCCATAGAGCCCTGAGCAAACACTGCAGTTCAATTAGCTTCTCCCCACCCACTCAGGGGCCAGTGGGTTCAGGTTGGGGCGGGGGGAGGCGCTGGGACCCAAACCTTCAACTGGGAACTTTGTGCCCATTAAACCAGCGTGTGTCACCCGCTGACCCCCAACCTTCTCCACACTGCTCAGCTCCAGGCAAAGACCCCAGGTCAGTCCCAGGTGGCAAAGGGAATAAGGCAATGAGGCATCTGTCCTGTGGAGGAGGGAGGCTGCCGAGGACAGTCATTCCTTCCTCCACTTCTTCCACCTGCTGCTGCCTTTGCGAGGGGCGCCACGACTTCCTTCTGGGAAATTGAGAACAGATTCAAAATGTGCATGGAGGGGGCACCTGGGTGGCTCAGGGGTTGAGCATCTGCCTTTGGCTCAGGGCATGATCCCGGGGTCCTGGGATCGAGTCCTGCATCAGGCTCCTTGAGGGAAGACTGCTTCTCCCTCTGCCTGTGTCTCTGCCCCTCTCTGTGTCTCTTATGAATAAATAAATAAAATCTTTTTAAAAAATGGGCATAGAGGGCTGGGAGGAGCGGGGGCAGGTTGCTGGATTCAGACTTCTGTCAATAGGGCCCTTGCAGTTCTTGGACCTGACGTCATGTCCTTGGATGGTGGGGAAGTGGGCCTAGGGTTGGGTGACCCTGCCTGCACAGGTCCTCTCACATCTGAAAGCCCCATCCCCTGTTCCCCTGGGGGTTGCTGGCTCTGAGGGGCAGGGAGGATGCCCTGAAGCTCCTCTGTCTTGCGGAGCCTCGCAGGGTTCCCCAGCCCACTCCGCACCGCACCGGCAGGGCTGGAGGGGGCTGGGGAGATGACGTGTGTATCAGTGCAAGCAGGACAGGAGCACAGCCGGCTGGGGCTCTGGGCTGCCTGTGGCTGCATTTCAGGCGTGGCCTCTCAGCCTGGGCACCACTGCTATTTTGAAACAAATCATTCTTTATGTGCGTCCATCCCACACACTGCAGGATGTTTAGCTGCCACTCACTGGGTGACAGGAGGATCCCCTTTCCTTCAGACATTGCCAGATGTTCCTTGGGGGGCAAAATCACTCTCCATTGAGAACCACTGATTTTGGGCAAACGCGTGTATCTATTTCTCTTTTTCTGGTTTTTGTCCCTTTTTGTTTATTCTATGTCTCTCTGTTTCTGTTTTTCCTTTCTCGTTGGCTCTCTTTGCAATTGTATCTCCTCCCTTGGTCTTAGACTGTGTAGTAGCACATGTGGGGTCTATGTGCATGTGTATGTTAGGTGTGCAGGTGTGCAGGTGTGCATGCAAGTGTGTGCTGTGGTATATGATGTGGTGTGTGTGCATGTGGTAAGTGTGGGGTTGTAGCGTATGATATGCTTTGTGTGTGTGTGTGCATGTGTGTATGGTATGTGAATGGTGGCCTATGATGTGGCGTGTGTGGTCTGTGTGTGGTTGTAGAGTATGATGTGAAGCGGGTGCGTATGTGTGAGCAGCAGTCTATGATGTGGGTTGTGTGCATGTGCGTGTGGTATGAGTGTGCGTGTGCATGTGTGTGGTTGTGGTGTGTGATGGGTATGGGGGGGTGTGCATGTGTGTGTGAGCGGTGGTCTATGACATGGGCTGTGTGTGTCCACGACTCTGAGTGGCCTCTCTGGATCCCCTGGTTCTTTTTCCTCTTTCATCTCTGCTCCCTGTGTCCTCGTCCAGCTGGCCACATCACGCCACGCCTGCTGCCCATACCTTCCAGGAGGGTGTCTCCTTCCCTGTGAGGGTGTGCGGTGCATGCCGGCCTGGCTACAAAGGAAAAGCAGGCGAGAGGCTGTGAGGATGGAGGCGGCACAGGGCAGGGAGGTCAAAGCCGCTGCTCACTCAGCCTGGAGTTTGTTCCAGTCACTGGGTTCACAGCCCCGTGTGCCAGCTCATGAAGGCTGCACGGGAGCGGGCGGCCGGTCAGCAGGTGAACAAGTGCGCGCACATGCCCTTTCCCCACCCCTGCCCCGCCCCCCCCCCCCCCCCCGCAGGCAGGCGCCCAGCGCCGCCCAGGGACTCTGCAGATGGTGGTGGGCTGAGCAGCCCGACTGGGAGCCAGATGCACTGGGCTCTAGCGCTGGATCAGGGGTCCCCGGGGGCAGTTTGTGCTAGAAGCCCTCCAAGCTTCTTCTCAACTCAAACATCCTGCGATTCTTTTTTTTTTTTTTAAAGATTGTATTTATTTATTTATTCATGAGAGACACAGAGAGAGGCAGAGACACAGGCAGAGGGAGGAGCAGGCTCCCTGCGGGGAGCCCGATGCAGGACTTGATCCCAGGACCCTGGGAATATGCCCTGAGTCGAAGGCAAGCGCTCAACCGCTGAGCCGCCCTGGTGCCCCTCATCCTGCGATTCTAACCAAAGAGGAGTTACCTGAGTTCCTTCAGCTTTCGTAGGTCAGGAGGTCTATGTTGTTGCCGACTGTCACTTACTTTTGGCCAAAATGCAGCCTTCGTCCCCAGCCCCCTCTGTCCCGTTGCTGACTGTGGCTTCATCCCTTTGCGCTCGTGCCCTGCACGTCCAGCCTGGGCCGGCCTAAGCGCCCCCGCCATGCGGCAGGCTGTGCAGGAGCTCCAGCCTCTGCTGGCTTGAAGACATCTGGTCAGGGCTCAGGGGAACACGGTCGGTCGGGAGCAGAGCTGGTGGCAGAAACGGGGCCAGGAGAAAGGTCTGGCCTTTCTGCGACCAACAGCAGCTTGCTGCTAACTCCACCTCCTCAGTTAGGCATGCACACGGCACCTGGCATGTATTTATGCAAGGAATCCTGGTGTCAAATGAACCAGTAGGTCATAGCAAGAGTTTATTTTTTTTAATATATAGAGAGAATCAGGGGAGAGGGGCAGAGGGAGAGAGAAATTTTTTTTTTAAGATTTCATTTATTTATTCATGAGAGACACAGAGAGAGAGAGAGGCAGAGACACAGGCAGAGGGAGAAGGAGGCTCCCTGCAGGGAGCCCAGTGTGGGACTCGATCCCGGTCTCCAGGATCACGCCTTGGGCCGAAGGCAGGCGCTAAACCACTGAGCCACCCAGGGATCCCCTCATAGCAAGATTTTAGAGCCGTTGTGGTGTGTGTGTGCATGTGCATCTGTGTTCCCGTGTCTCCGGTGTAGGAGCCATTGGTTCTCCTGGACCATGACCCCCTTTCAGAATGTGCTCAAAGGTGGGCATATGGACTATGGGATGTAAGGGAAGGAACATCCTTCTTGACCCATGCCCGTGTCCCTCCACTGTCAGATTCTCCCCTCCCCCCACCCCACCTCCTTGAATGAAAGATTTTCTGAGCCAGCCTTGGGGGGTTTCCCTGGGTTGGTAGCCCCTCCATCACCTTCTCAGAGCATCTTGTCTCCTAAACCCTCTATCTGGAAGGTGAAGCTTTAGAAGGAGCCTGAGCTGCTTCTGATTCTCCCCTGAGGCCTCTA